ACACAAAGAAAAAAATTCAAGTGCCACTGAAAGGTATAAAGAAAACATGATACAAATTCAACAACATTCTATTCATTTTACTGTTATTGTGTTGTTTTTTTTTTTTAATCACAGAGACAGGGAGGCCTACAGAGAGAGTGAAGAGCCAAAATGACCCATTTTAAAACAATAAAAAAAAAAAGCAGCCTCCGTTTCCCATAGTAGACCCGAGTCCTTGTAAAAGCAGGCATTCAGGCATTCCGGAGATATCGAAGCTTACCAGGAACAGCTAGCTCGGTAAACCAAGGACAGCACAGGAGAGATTGCTAAACAAAGTAACTCCCTGCGCCCAAAGCTCCTGTGCTGTAAGCCCCCGCTGTAACTCCCTGTGCCCAGAGCCCCTGCTGATGTAACTCTTTTTTTCCTGCTGACGTAGCCCTTTTTTCCTTTAAAAACTCTCCCAAAGACCGAGGCCTCACTCCTTCCTCTGTTGTGCTGGTTGGTTGGATGGGGGTCCCTGTTGCAGCTTGTACTCCCGAATAAACCCTGCTTTTGCAGTTTGGTGTGATCGGGTTGCTGATAGCTTCCTGTGGATCTACTTATCTGGGCACAACAAGAGTTTCCTTCCACTGGTTCATTCCCCCAAACACTCAATATTGCCAGGGCTCAGCCAGACCAAACCCCGGAAGCTAGTAACTCAATCTAAGTCTCCCACATGGCAGGGATCCAATTACTTATCCCCAGGACCCAGGTCCCATATTAAGAATATGCTGGAATTGGGAGCAGAGCTAAGATTTGAACCCAGGCACTCTGATAGAGGATGCAGGCATTCTAAGATTTTAACTGCTAGGCCAAATGCCCACTCCAAGGTCCTATTTATGAAGGCTATTATTGGAACAATTGACAAAGCTTGACTAGAATCTGAGGATTTGATGGTGGTAATGTATCACTGACAAATTCCTCTTGTTGACTGTTGCATCATGGTCAAGTACATGCTATTTTGTAGGAAATGCACACTAAAACATTCTGGGTGACAAAGATTAACATTGATAGCTTATTACAGTTTTATAGGGGTTCTTTGTGTTACAACTGCAAGTTTATTACATATTTGAGATTGTTTCAAAAGATAAAGTAGGTAATTTTTAAATGATGGCTCAGAATACAGTAGTATCAAAAAGCATGTGACGAAAGTCAACATGCTTTCATAGTAATAAAAAAAACTATCAGCAAATTAGGTATTTAAGGAATGTATCTTAACACAATAAAGGTCATATATGATAAGCCCACAGCTAACATTATATTGAATAATAAACTGAAACCCTTTGCTCTAAAGATCTATTATAAGACAAGTTTGCCCTCTCTCACCATTTCTATTCAAAATAGTGTTAGAAATCATTGACAAAGCAATTAGGGAAGAGAAAGAAATAAAAGGCATCCAAATCAGAAAGGATATGTAATCTACTCACAAAAATCAGTAATGTTTCTGTATACCAACAATGAATTTTCAAAAGGGAAATCAAGAAAGCAAGCTCATTGAAAATAACTACAAAAAATTCTACAAAATACTTAGAAATGTTTTTAATCGTGGAGGTAAAAGATCTACACACTGAAAACTATGAAATGTTAATGAAAAGAATCAAAGAAGGCATAAATAAATGGAAAGGTATCCTGTGTTCATATATTATAAGAACCAATATTATTTAAAATTTTATATAACACAAAGCAACCTACAAATTCAATGCAATCCCTATGAAAATTCCAATGACATGTTTTAGAGAAACAGAAAAAAAAATCCTAAAATTCATATGGAAGCACAAAGGTAACTATGAAAAAAAGAACAAAGTCGGAACAAACTCTATCTGGTTTTAATCTATACTACAAAGCAACTAATTAAAACAGCATGGTACTGGCATAAAAATAGATTCAGCAATAGATGAAACTGAAAAGGTAGCCCAGAAATAAACCTATGAATGTATGTCAATTTATTTTCAACAGGCTGTCAGGGATACATAATAGGAAAAGCATTCTCTTCAATAAATAGGATTGGTAACACTGGGCATCCATATGTGAAAGAATGAAATTGAACTCTTTACCTTATGATACATAGAAAAATCAACTCAAACTGAACAAAACACTTAAACATGAGAGGTGAATTTTAAAACTACTGAAAAACATGGGGGAAAGCTACACAACATTGGTTTGGGCAATGGATTTTTAGATATGAGTCCAAAAGCACATACAACAGAAGCAAAAATAGACAAATCAGCATATATCAAAGTGAAAAGCTTCCATATAAAAGAAGGAAACAACACAGATTGGGAGGAGGTATTTGCAAACCAAATATCTAAAAAGAGATTAATATTCAAAATATATAGAGAATTCAAACAACTCCACAGAAAGAAAATACAAAATTCAGATTATAAAATGGGCATTTCCCAAAAGAATATATACAAACAATACACATACGAAAAACTGCACAATACCACTAATCATCAGAAAATACAAATTAAATTGTATCCTGCTTATCAGAATTTCCATTATCAAAAATGGTAAAGATATTACATGTTGATGAGGGTCTAGAGAAGAGGAGGCCCTTGTGTCCCTTACTACATGAATCAATGATATTTAATGCCATATCCCAATGAAAACCATTCTACATACTACTGCAACAACAGCACTTTGTAAAGGCACTGGCTACACCTGTGGTTATTCTCCCTTGATATTCCTCTTGCCCCTTCTTAAGAAAAAAGCTAAGAATTGGCTTTGTGGCATGGCAGGTAAAGCCCCTGCCTGAGCTGCCGGCATCCCATATGGGTGCCAGTTCGAGTCCCAGCTTCTCCACCTCCAATTCAGCTCTCTGCTGTGGCCTGGGAAAGCAGTGGAAGACGGTCCAAGTCCTCGGACCCGTGCACCCGTATGGGAGACCTGGAAGAAGCTCTTGGCTCCTGGCTTCTGCTCTGGCTCTTGTGGCCATCTGGGGAGTGAACCAGTGGTTGGAAGACCTCTCTGTCTCTGTCTCTCTCTCAATGCCTTTGACTCTCTCTAACTCTGCCTTCCAAATAAATAAATAAATCTTTAAAAAAAAAAAAAAGAAAGAAAAAAGCTGCAATGAAAACAAGCCAAATGCTCTTGCGCTTAGTGAAGTTAACTGACAATGCAGACAAATTAAGCCACAATGAAGGAAATCCCAGCTACACTGCAACATTAGCTATGAGGCCTTGAGGAAACAATCTAAGCTCTCTGTGTCTGCTTCCTCACGTGTAAAAAAGGGATGATAATAGTATCTGTCCTTAGTTCATCAAAGAAACAAAAATCTAATCTACACTGAGACATGGCCTCACATCTACTAGGGTGGTCATCTGTAAAAAGACAAGAGATAAGAAATGGTTTGCAGGGGCCAGCCCTTTAGCTTAATTGCTGAGGCCTCTGCCAGTAGTGCTGGCCTTCCATTTGGGCACTGGTTTGAGTTCTGGCTGCTCCACTTCTGATCCAGCTCCCTCCTAATGCATTTGGGAAAGCAACAGAGCATGGTCCAAGTCCTTAGGCCCCTGCACCCACATGGGAGACCCAGAAGAAGCTCCTGACTCCTGGCTTCAGATCAGCCCAGATCCAGACACTGCAGCCATTTGGGGAGTGAATCAGCAGATGGAAAGTCTTTATCTCTCCCTCTCTCTCTGTAACCCTACCTTTCAAATAAATAAATAAATCTTTTCTTTAAAAAAAAAAAAAAAAAAAAGAAGTTGTTTGTAAGAAAAGGAAACCCTGAACATTGTCTTTGGAAATGTAAATTAGTGCAGCCATTATGGAAAAATGAGAAATGGAACAACTACATGATTCAACAATTCCACTTCAGGATATATATGCAATGAAAATGAAATCATTATGTTTAAGAGGTATCTGCATGTGCACACACACACACACACACACACTTTTCACTGCAGTATTATTCACAATAGCCAAGATACAGAAACAACCTAAATGTCCACTGATGAATAAATGGCAAATAAATCATGGTTGATATATGTAATGGAATATTATCCAGCCACTAAAAAGAAGGAAATCCTGCCATTTGCAACTAATGGACAAACCTGGAGGATATTATAAGTAAAATAAACCAAACGCAGAAAGATAAATAAGGAATCTAAAAAATTGAAACTCATAGAAGCTGTTAGTATAGAAGTGCTTGCTCAGGCAAAATAGGGAAATTAGTTATAAGGCACAGCTTTCATTTGGAAGATAAACAAGTTCCTACCTACAGTATGGGTAGTAATGGATGTATTAACTTGATTATGGTAATTACACAATGTATATCAAATCTGTATGCTAGATATCTTGATAATTTTCAATCTTTATCAATTAAATATTATAAAATTTTAAACAAATGCATGTGTGAGATGCACAGAACAATGCTAACCTCTTAACTCGAATAAGTGTTGACTATTATTTCAAGGAGGCAACACAATGACCTCACATGCAACATGTTTTGAATCATAATATTTAAAACCATGAGACCACTCATTTATCCTACATGTTCCTAGAAAGTATGGCATCAGGGGCTGGTGCTATAGTATGGAGGGTAAAACCGCCACCTGCAGCACTGGCATCCCATATGGGCATTGGTTCAAGTCCTGGCCGTTCCACTTCTGATAAGGTTCCCTGCTAATGCGCCTGTAAAAGCAGTAGAAGGTGGCCCAAGTCTTGGGGCTTCTGAACCAATGTGGGAGACCTGGAGGAAGTTCCTGGTTCCTGGCTTTGGATCAGCTCACCTCAGGCAATTGCAGCCATTTGGGGAGTGAACTAGTAGTTGGAAGATCTCTCTCTCTGAAACTCTCCATTTCCAATAAATAAATAAATATTTAAAAAAAAACAGAAATATCATAACAAACTCCTCCTGACATAAATTCTCTTTATCCAGATCAAATTTCCTCCAAGGACAGAAAAACAACAAGCCTACATGTGCACTTGGACGTGGATTGTGTATGTATGATATACTCACACATAAAATTCCTTCTATTACTCACATTCTCATAGAGAGCTTGAAGAGTCTCCAAGTCAACCACAGAGTTGTCCAAGTTAACAACAGCTGTGAAAAGAAAAAAAGACAAAGATATCATGTAAGTTGCCACAAGGCAGCTCTAAAAAGATACTTGACCATCTCAGGAGATAATGTTTGTGACTCAATAGTCAGACATTGTAGGGGCTCCAGCTCCAATGCTTTCACTAGTCCCACTAAAAAGATCATGCCCTGGGAATTTCAATGGGGCAGGTGTCAAGTGTTAAAGTTTTCACTTGCTCCACAAATACTAAATTCCATCAATATGGCCCAATCAAATGTCAGAGAGAAAATCTGAATCTGCCTCTTACAGCCCAACTGAATTTGCGAAGTCTGATTAATACCAGAAAAACAAGAAAACAGAAAATAACTTCTATCACTGCTACATCCTAGTTTTATATTGAGAAATTCTGCCAATTTACCTAAAACATTCAACAAATGATAAATTTAATCAGTAAATAGGGAGACAGTATAGAAATGATATTCATTTCCTGTTATTATTCCTTGAAGTGTTACAATCAAAGGGAAATTCTTTGATACTGGTACTGCAATTAGCACAGATTCATACTTAAATATTCAAGATTAAGATACACACTACCTATGGTTGTACAAGGAAGAAATGCAATAGACAAGAGAAAGCCCAAAATATGTTTTTTAACACATTTATTGGTCTAGGAAAAGTATTATATTTTGGAGTAGGTGTGCTGTAGTTCTTTAGAAACAGGTTAATCAAAATCATAGTTCATTTGCCACATATTTATTAGCTAGACATTAGATAAATTTGCCCTGATTGTATTTGTGCCAGGTAGGCAGTGAAGCACTTGAGGGATTAAAGTTTGCTAGGAGAAAATTCATAATGTGAATAATCACAAATTGGATATATTTATTTTGAGAACTGGGACATTTTACTATCTCTCTTTACTCAAAGATTAAAATACACGAGACATTTTTAGTTGACTCTGGCAAAATCCCAAGAAAGAATTAAGAAAGACAGACAAGTGGGAAATGGAAGGATAGGATGAATGAGAAACATCAGCTAGGTAATTTAGCATTTCTGGGAACAGAGCCCAGATTCACCAACAAATATACCAAGTAGAATATGATACTTCCACACTAATAATAATCCACTATCTCAATTTTAAGATTCTCACACAAATCTTTGTACTTCTTAGTCCTTATAAGGCAAACATATCATAAACTATTCAATGTTTCAAAATAATAGAAGCACAGTCCATATAGCTTTGATAATATTGCAAAAGTTAATTCAAAGTGGTTAACTATGGATTTTTGCTGCAATTACATGAAGCAAAATGCATAAACGGCAGTAATTACAGCAAATTCATATATGGAATCTCCTCCTTTAGATTTTCAATGAGTAGCCCTCAAAGAAAATTATAGTGAATCTAAAAGTTTCTGATTTGGAATTCATTAACTAGGTAATAATCCACTGATTGTCCACATTCATTTGAAGATAAAGTAAGTGATGGATGGGAAAACTATGAGGAATTGCTAATAGTCAACTTAGTGTAAAATTTCACCCTTAGAACAAGACAAAGAAACACAATAAAATTATTGATACTGAAGCAAAACTCATAAAGAATACAACTAACTTTTGACTTTATCCGTCATTTTAAGACATGCTATGATTCCTATAAATTTCCTCACATGAAAATTTACTTATGAATATCCTGAGACTTCTAATTATTTTTAATCTCGTGCAATAGCATGTACCTATGAATATCTTAAGAAATATCATACGCCTATAACCAAGTTCTCAAAAGGTCCGAACTCAAGAAACCTCTTTTTTCATTCCTCCACAGAAAATCTCACTGAAAAGCAACACCATCACTGTTGTTCCACACAATTTCCACATTGTTGGCTTCATAGTCAAGAGATTAATAAGAATGTTTAATTCTAACTGGCATCAGGAGTGTCCTGGGTACAATGTGGTCAGGTCTATACAGCTGAAAAGAAACAAAGCTTAGATACTGGCATAGGAATGAACACAGTGATAGGAGTTCTGAATAGGAAATAAAGGTAAAACAAAATTTGTGAAGATTAAGGTTATTAAGCGCTGTATTTCCCCACCTTTAAAAGTACATGTTAACTTCTCAGAGATCAAAAGTTAGGTTAAAATTCATACATATGTTATCAGATTTTCAGTGGTCTTTCATTGCTCCCTGTTTTAAAATCTAAGACTAGGTAAACTACATTTTCAATTAATGAAAATATAAAACCAAGAAAAGAAGATAGTGTATTCACTAATATATTCCAACATCAGGGATTATGCTACTTTACCAATAGAGTTACAGTTACTTGAGCAATAATATATTGAGATTGGAAATGCTAGATGCTAATGTACTGAGTTACTCAGCCCTGAAAGTCTGCAGAAAACTAATTATGCATAAAGATGACCCTAATCATGTATTTAGATGTGATCCTGCAAAGAAATTATATATTTATAAATGTATAAAAAGACATATAGGTACTTTTAAAAGTGGTAAAATATTCAATGAAAAAAAACTCATCAGAAATTTCTCAGTCCCAGATCCAAGATTTCAGTCCTGTTGAAGATGAAAATATCTGAATATTAAAATTATATTAAGGTAATAGTTCTTCCAAAGAGAGTAGTGTTTTGATCAGATATAATTTACTAATGTGGAAAGAACATAGAATCAAACAAAGTTGAGTTCAAATATGAATATTTATTTGCTGACACATTACTTCAGGTAAATTTACGTAAACTTTAATTCCTTTTAAGGAGAGAAAGAAATAATGGAAAAATATTGACAGTTTTCATATTTGATTTTGGTGTGATTTTTGTTTGTTTTTAAATTTTTTGTATTTGAGAGGCAGAGAGAGAAAGAGAGAGAGAAATAGAAATGGATTCTATCTGTGGCTCATTCTCCAAATGTCTGAAAAGGCAGGCTGGGCTCCAGGACCAAAGCAAGAGCCAGAAACTGGGAACTCAATCCTGGTATCCCAAATGGGTGACATGAGCCCAACCAACTTCTTGAGCCATCACCACTGCCTTCTAGGGTCTGCACTGGTGGGAAACTGGAGACAGGAACCAGAGCCAGAGCCACAAATCAAACTAAGACATGAAGATATTGGATGCAGGTGTCTTAACCAATGTCTTAAGCATTAGGCCAAACATTAGTCCATGATTTTGGTTTTCGTTGAGACCAAAGGGAATCCCATGATTGTTATTTCCCCATGCCAACTTTTCATCAAAGTACAGCTCTTAAATGATCTTTCTGACTCTAATAAGCCTTATTATCACATTCAAAGTTAAACAAATTTTCTTTTCTACTTTTGGTTTAGTTTCCTCATATATCAAAGAGTAAAATTCCAACTCCATCTATTGAGAGATGTCACTTTTACCTGAATGATAAGTGATGAAAACTAAATTTACAGCCCGACAAATAAGTATTGAGTATTGTTCATTATACTGTCTTGTTAACATGCAAACTGTGAAGCAAAAGACAGGGTTTCAGAACATAGATAAATCCAGTCCTTAAAATGATACTTGGTGCTAAATGTTCAATTCAGATTACTTTTTCCTCAGTGTTCAATTAGGTCCTAATGTGTTGTACAACAGATTAGAGACCAAGTATCTTACATTCACTTCCTACCTGATGCTTAAAGACATTCCAAAATACCCACCATTGTCTAGGACTCATCATATTTCCCATCCCCACTCACTTCCCCTGCAAATACAATGAAATTTTAATTATTTTCCTGAAAAGTATATAAAAATAAATCCTACTGGGTCTGGTGCTGTGGCAATGCAGGTAAAGCTGCTGCCTGCAGTGCTGGCATCCCATATGGGCACCAGTTTGAGTCCCAGCTGCTCCTCTTCTGATCCAGCTCTCTGCTGTGGCCTGGGAAAGCAGTGGAAGATGGCCCAAGTCCTTGAGTACCTGCACCTGTGTTGGAGACCCAAAAGAAGCTCCAGGCTCCTGTCTTTGGATTGAATCAGCTCCGGCTGTTGTGCCCATTTGGGGAGTGAACAAATGAATGCAAGACTTCTCTCTCTCTGTCTCTGCCTCTCTGTAGCTCTGCCTTTCAAATAAATAAATAAATCTTTAAAAAAATTTTTTTTTTTAAACTTTTATTTAATGTATATAATTTTCCAAAGTACGACTTATGGATTACAATGGCTTCCCCCCCATACCGTCCCTCCCACCCACAACCCTCCCCTTTCCCACTCCCTCTCCCCTTCCATTCACATCAAGATTCATTTTCGATTATCTTAATATACAGAAGATCAGCTTAGTATACATTAAGTATGGATTTCAACAGTTTGCTCCCACACAGAAACATAAAGTGAAAAATAATAGATGATTTTTTTTAAATGATGATGAAATCAGAGCAGACCTATTGTCATGTTTAATCCCAGTGAGAGTCAAGTTGGGAATTGATAATTTCTTTTTTTCTTTTCTTTTTTTTTTTTTTACAGAAGATCAGTTTAGTATGCATTAAGTAAAGATTTCAACAGTTTGCACCCCCATAGAAACACAAAGTGAAATATATTGTTTGAGTACTCGTTATAGCATTAAATCTCAATGCACAGCACATTAAGGATAGAGATCCTACATGAGGAGTAAGTGCACAGTGACTCCTGTTGTTGACTTTACCAATTGACACTCCTGTCTATGGCATCAGTAATCTCCCTATGCTCCAGTCATGAGTTTCCAAGGCTATGGAAGCCCTCTGAGTTCTCCGACTCTTATCTTGTTTAGACAAGACAAGGTCATAGTCAAAGTGGAGGTTCTCTCCTCCCTTCAGAGAAAGGTACCTCCTTCTTTGATGACCTGTTCTTTCCACTGGGATCTCACTCGCAGAGATCTTTTGCCAGAGTGTCTTGGCTTTCCACGCCTGAAATACTCTCATGAGCTCTTCAGCCAGCTCCGAATGCCTTTAGGGCTGATTCTGAGGCCAGAGTGCTATTTAGGACATCTGCCATTCTATGAGTCTGCTGAGTATCTCACTTCCCATGTTGGATCACTCTCCCCTTTATTTACTCC